CTGCTGGAAATAGAGAGCAAGAGAGTGGATGCCTGACATCTTCATTCCCCACCCCAGTCCCAGGGAGGTCTCGAGGCCATAGACTGCTGGAAATAGAGAGCAAGAGAGTCCACCTTCTGTCTAGGGATCTAATCAAAGCAACAACTATGATTTATGTGTACTTTCTCAATTGAGCCTTTAAACCCGTAATGCAAGATAGTCCACTAGTGTGATCTGGAATAACTTAAAGGTGCAAGGGTTAATACTATTTTCCTCTTGCTAGTGTACATGCTATTCCCCCTCCCGCCACCCTTCCAAAGAAGATATAAATGAGGGGAAAGGAGTCATCATCCCTATAGAATCTGGCCCTGCTAAATGAGGAAGGGATGGGTACACCTCAGCTTGTCTCCAGCCTCTCTCTCATCGTCTTGATCCAAGTCATTCCTTTCCAGCCCATTGAAGGTGGCAAGAGTCTGATGATACCGAAGTTGAGGACCGGGAACAAAGATGCGTTACAGACGCTGCTAGGTAGGACAACCCTTTGGAAACTTGTTTGAGACTCTTGTTGTCTTGTGGCCCAAAAGATGGATTTTGCCATGTCCAGGGATGGGAGCAGTGGAAAAATGGTTGATGTGCTTGAGGACAGAAATGCCCAAAGCACTATCTGGAATTCAACCTTAGTTGATATGCCAGCTCTTTTGCAAACTCCCTGCATGTGTGCTTCCCTCTTGACCATGGGCCTCCCTGCATTGTGCAAAGTAGGGAGCAACCAGAATTTGGGAGTATTAGCAAAGAAAAGCAAAATCCACAAGGAGCATCTCAAGCTTTCTTCCTCTGCCACAAAAGGCACCGGATGGCACAAGTTCTGGGTCACTCACAATAACATGAAAAGTGATCCAAGAGTTTGTCCCATCTGCTTCCACTGTGAATGGTGTCTAAACTACTCCATGGCAAACCTCTTAAATTGTAAGCATTTTGAGCTGAACTGGAATAGCCCTCCCAGGGCTTCCTAAACATACGATGAAGCCTGTTAAATATTCAAGTAATCTAAGGCTGGAAATAACCCTGTCTCTTTAGCATCATGGCTGGGAGCCAAGAGTTAGCTTAATGGGCATCATCATGTAAAAATCTAACTATAGCCAGGGCTGAAAGAAAAATAATGTTCAGATCAGAATTGGAAGCCTTCAGTGCATCAGATTTTTTTTTGCTTCAAAATTTTGTATATCTTTAATATTGGCTATGACAACTAGGACTGATAGGACTAGAAGTCCAAATTATGCTGGGATCTGATATCATGTCTGGTTTATCCTTAAGAACAATGGTTTAAGTCTCACCCGAATAACAAACATACTGAGTGGCCGGCTTTGAAAAAGCTCTATTTTCTCAAATGCTTCTCTCCCCCAATACAGGGATAACAATACTAGCTTACTTTTACAAGGTTATTATAAACACCTCCCCCAATACAGGGATAACAATACTACTGTAGCTTACTTTTACAAGGTTATTATAAACAGCATGATGTGTGAAAGATGCTTTGAAAACTCTACATCATATCAATGGTGTTGCCCTGAGGTCCGAGGACTGAGTCCCCACCTGTTTGTCTTGGGTTGCTTGTGAAGTTGAAGATCCAGGATTGAGGTTCAGAGTCCTTGCCCACCTGCTTGTCATTTCAGAAGGGAAGGGCAAGAGAGAAGAAGTGTGGACATTTGACTCACTGTATTAGTTGAAACTGCAGACCAAAAGGATTAGAAGGGGCATATGTTACTGACCTCTGGAATACATGGAGATTCAAGGTAAAACTGATTGCTTTTGTTGCTCTTTGATTAATACCTCACAAAATAACCTACTGTGCACATACAGTGGATGTCGGGCCAGAATGGACTGACCTCTCTTTGGGATCTCAAAAAGCAGCAGGTGTGATCCTCCAAGGCCATTCAGAATCTTCTTCCCTAACAGCCAATTGAATTTACAGTGGGGTCTCTACTTAAGAACTTAATCCGTACTGGAAGGTGGTTCTCAAGTTGAAAAGTTCTTATGTTGAATCTGCATTTCCCATAGGAATGCATTGAAAACCATTTAATCCGTATCTGCTCTTTTCCGTCCATAGAAACTACAGTGGAACCTCTACTCCCCTAACAGCCAATTGAATTTATTATTGATCCAACTGAAGGCTATGCACAAAAATATCCAATCTCTCTGCCACCCTTATTTTCATTTCAGAAACAAGGACCATGAAAGGAGCATCTGTAAATGCTGCAGGCCTCCACACCAGTCCCTTAAGTGATCCACCCAGCTCATTCCCGAGTCCATCCAGGAACCGTCCAAAGAGACGCACATGGGAAAGACCTGAAGAGCATGAATGTCACCTACGAAGCCTGCTGGTTCCCATCAAGGACCTGGGCTTAGGCTACAACTCCGAGGAGACCATCCTCTTCAAGTACTGCAGTGGGAGTTGTCCAAAGGCCCGCAGCAACCATGATCTGACACTTTCAGTGCTGCTGCAGAACAGTGAGATCCCTGCCATGGGGGACCCCTGTTGTCGCCCTACACACTATGAGGATGTGGCCTTTCTGGATGACAACCACCAGTGGCATGAAGTGGAGAAGCTCTCAGCCTCTGCCTGCAGCTGTGCAGCCTGATGGCCCATGAAGGAGAGAGGGAAATGGACACAGAGACTTGTAGGGCAACAGTAGAGCGTGGTGTACCTCTAGGTTTAAAGGAAGCCACCTTAATGTTGCTCCAGTCCAGGCTACAGCTCTAACATAAGCTTTTAAGAGCAACCCCTAGTAAGAAAAATGCTGCATCACCGGAAGCCAAGGTCACTTGCATCTTCACACTGTACATACAGAGCAACCTCTCACAATAGCTGCCAACTGGGGGCAGACAAAATTGGGGCGTTTCTTGAGCACTGTCATACCCCCACAATCCCCACCCCCAATCTACACCATGTTACAAACAAACATGCTTTTGGTTTGATTAAATCCTGTCTGAATTAGGTCTGAGATGCTGGGGCAACAACATGAGAGCTGAGCAGTCAGAGATATTTATGGATTGTTCCTAAGTTATTTAATTTATTTCTTCCCTGAATATGAGGAGGGCCTAGCATTTGTGCTACCCCTTTCCTAATCTGAGTTCTCTATCTTTTTCCTTGTGTATTTTTGCATATTTCTCTCATTCCAGCGCTGTTAATTTTCCTGCATTAGTGTTAGAAATGGCAATGTATATATTAATGTCAAAACAATAAAGACCAAGCAAGGACATACACAAGAGTCTCCAGTTCTAATAGCCATTCATTGAAAAGAGGTTCTTTGCTATCTTCACAGCAGCAGGGACTAGATTCTTTGTCACCAAGTCAACTGAGAAGTGTTGCACTTTGACCCAGGAACAGAGGATGAAACGAGATGCTTTATGAGTAATACTGAAGCGCCCAAATCATACTAGACAAAGACAACATCAGAAGCAGGCTCCAGTCAGAATCCCACATTTCAAAGGGAAAAAGGAATACTGAGAGAAAAACTACAGTGGTGCCCCACATGACGATGATAATCCGTCCCGTGAAAATCGCTGTTTAACAAAATCGTCGTCATGCGAAAACCCTTTCCCCATTGGAATGCACTGAAACTCTGTTTAATGCATTCCAATGGGGAAAATACCTTGTCGTCCAGTGAAGATCGCCCATAGGGAAGCCATTTTGTGAGCGCCGATCAGCTGTAAAAATGGCTGGCCTGCGTAGCATGGGTCTGGAAAACACAGGGCAGCCATTTTGCGGAGCCGGAAAAATTGTTGTCTTGCGAACAAACAGTTCGCAAAGCACAGACCTAATCGATGTCCAGTGAAAATCCCCCACTGGAATGACTGTTTTGAGAATCACTACTGCGATCGCAAGGCATCATAATGTGTTGTTTAGCGGGGTCGTTGTTTAGCAAGGTACGTCATCGCAATGCGGATTCGTCGTTTAGCGGGGTCGTTGTTTAGCAAGGTACCACTGTACAAAACATTTCTCAGTCACCTTCAACAATACAAACAAAATAACCCACTTTTAGTTTTCACAGAGTATATGTGTAATGGTCAAATTCTCTGTTTAGAAGTATCATCAGGTAATAATTTAATGCTTCTTTTAAAAAGAGAAGGAAGAGAAGGACAATATCACACATACAAAAGAAAAAAGATGGCCATATACAATAAATAATTTAAAATTAAATCCTCTGTTCCAGGTTGAAGTTATGACAAAGGTTCCTGGCCAGAATCAATGGAACATAGTTGGTCTGGCTCCAGCTTTTATCTGAATTCTACCTCATTCCAAATCACTCAAGGCTTAGGTGAACCCAATCTGTTTATCTCAATTCTCAGTGCTCTCTTCTTACAGTGAAAATCTCTTATCCCTTGCATTTCACTTTTATGTCTCATTTGCTTGCTGTCTTCATACTTTTTTGGTGCTACAGATGAACAGCAGAAATTTTCACCAACTATTTCTACTCTTTGCATATGAATCCAGAGTCAGCACTTCAGTTTGGGGCATCCTGAATTAATATGACTTATGAACTGTTTTCAAATTGTACAAACACTTAGGCTGTGGTTGAGCAGCTGCCATGCCAGCACTGCCAGAATGTTTAGACATGGAGCACTGCATCTAGTTTAGACCCTGTTCATATCTATGAGGCACCAAGGATCCAGTCTGTGATTCTCTTTCTCAAGGCAGCAACAGTGCAACACTGTCTGGGGATGATGGAAACTCTTGTTTAACATACTTGGAGGGCATCAGGATGGGAAAGGCAATGTTTGAGAGCTTTTTGACCCTCTTTTAAGAAACATTTATTCAGCTTCCTTTGCTAAGCACTCGTTACTCATGAGATAACCTATAAGATGGTAAACTAAGAGCAAGGCAGAGCACGTCCACGTTTCATGCCAAGGTACTTATAAGAAACTAGACCTATGTTTCACTCATTTTTCTCAAGAACAAAACTGCACACTTGAGCCTGTCTTGATTTCAGCCCTAACTGCTGCTGCAGCAACAACAAACATTTCAGAAGAAGCATCCAGATTTTATTGCTCTGAGATAAACTGTACTTCAGTTAAGTATAATCAGGTCCATTTCTTCAATTCTGCCTTCTCTTCATCTGTTAACAGCCAACTACCAAGAATCTTTCTTTAGATCTTGAATATCCTTAGATTCCTTCCAGCTCATAAGGGCCTCCATCACTTCCTGCTGGTCGGAAAGCTGAGCCTTAAGGCACAGTAGGCCAGACACACACACCCCTGCTTCACTTCCATTAAAAGAGCAGGTTACTTTCCAGGTGGAAACAAGGGTCAGTCTTCGAAATCTCAACCTGCAATTCTATGATGGGTCTGAAGACAAGGGTAGGTTTCGGCAGATGACAGAGATCCTTCGTTCCCGAGTGATCTTCCTTCCATTGAAAAAGGATTCCTCATCTTTAAGGATCTCATGAGTGAATTCATAACGAGCTGGTCCTCTTCACCGAAAGAAGAAATTACAGATGTCAGTACATTATTATAATTTAAAAGGACTCTTGTTCCAGGAAGAGAAACCCATAAAATTAGAGGCTGGAAAGAAACCTTTGTATTTCACAGTACCAAGATGCTGTTTTTTTCCTATCTGGATTCCTTCTGAAACAGAATCTCAAGTTTCTGACTGCAGATATAGTTTACAGTTAGACATGCTAAACACACTAATTTATATTCCATGCCGTTTCATTCACATGATAGTATTGCTCTTCATAATCTCTTATAAGGTAGCAGAATTATGATTATGTTGTGGTTAGTTTTATTTGTATGCTGCATTTTTCCCAACAAAGGGACCCAAGGCAGCTCACAGCGTTAAAAATCACACAATTAAAACACATTAAGTTAAATATTAAAAGACAAATTAAACATATAGGATTTAAAATAAAATTAAAAGATTAAAACATGGAAACATGAAAAGATTAAAATTATATGCTAAAATGGGATTCAGTTATAATTTTTAAAAGCCTGGTTGAAGAGATGGGTCTTGAGCTTTTTTCGGAAGGATAAAAAGGGAAGGGGCCATCCTGATCTCCTGAGGGACAGCGTTCTATAGCTTGGGAGCTGCCACAGAAAAGGCCCTCTCCCGTGTCCCCATCAGCTATCCTTGTGCTGGCAATGGGTCTGAGAGAAGGGTCTCCTCTGCTGATCTTAATCGCCGAGAAGGCACATATAGGGAGATAAGGTCCTTCAGGTAGCCTGGACCCAAGCTGTGTAGGGCTTTATAGGGAATGACCAGCACTTTGAATTGGGCCAAGAAATGGACTGGTAGCCAGTGCAGTTCTTGTAACAGGTGCCTTATATGCTCCCTGTAACTGCCCCCAGTCAGTAGTCTGGCTGCAAAGTTTTGCACCAGCTGAGGTTTCTGAACCATCTTCAAAGGCATTTCCCACAAAGAGCATGTTACAGTAATCCAAATGGGATGTAATTACATCATGTGTCACTGTAGCAAAATCCGACATGTCAAGGAACGGGCACCGCTGGCACTCCGGGCCACTACCGAGACCTGGGCATCAAAACTTAGGGATGAATCCAGGAGTACACCCAAGCTGCGGACCTGAGCTTTCAGGGAGGAGTGTAACCTCATCCAGCACAAGTACCCCTATTCCCTCATCTGCCTTCTGACTAATCAGGAGCACCTCTGTCTTGTCTGGATTAGGTTTCAGTTTGTTTGCCCTCATCCAGCCCATTACTGATGCCAAGGACTGGTTTAGAGTCAAGACAGCTTCCCTGGAATTAGGTGGAAAGGAGAAATAGAGCTGAGTGTCATCCGCATACTGCTGACACCAAACCCTAAAACTCCGGACAACCTGTCCCAGCAGTTTCATGTAGATGTTAAAAAGCATGGGTGACAAAGCATAACTCTGAAGAATGCCACAGGCCAGGGCATTAAGTATGAGTCACCCAGCACTACCTTCTGAGTTTTCCCCTCCAGGAAGGACTGGAGCCACTGTAAAACAGTGAGACAGCCCAGAAGGATACCATGTTCAATGATATCGAAAGCCACTCAGAGGTCCATCAGAATCAACAGGGACACACTCCCCCTATCCAGTTACTGGCATAGGTCATTCACTGAGGCGGGAAGCTGTCTCTGTCCCATAGCCAGGCCTGAACTTGCATAGGTCATTCACTGAGGTGGGAAGATGTCTCTGTCCCATAGCCAGGCCTGAAAGCAGACTGGAATGGGTCTAGATAATCCAATTTCTCTAGGAATCCCTGGAGCTGAGAAACCACCACATGCTCTAGAACCTCATGGCGCAGGGGTAAAACTGCTGTACTACAGCTAAAACTGTGCTCACGAGGGGGGGGGGGGGTAATCCTAGGTAGCCAGCTCAAGGTTGACTCAGCCTTCTATCCTTCCAAGGTCGGTAAAATGAGTACCCAGCTTGCTGGGGGGAGGGGCAATGTGTAACCTGCATAATTAACTAGTAAACTGCCCAGAGAGTGCTTGAAGCACTATGGGGCGGTATATAAGCAGCACGCTTTTACTTTGCCCAGGAATGGGATGTTTAACACTGGCCAGTAGTTATCTAGTACACTGAGATCCAGGGAGGACTTCTTCAACAGTGGTCTTATTACTGCCTCATTTTAGCAAGCAGGGATCCTACCCTGCAGCAAGAAGGCATTTGCCACTCCCCGTACCCAATCGGCCATTCCTCCTCTGGCTGCTTTTATGAGCCAGGATGGGTAAGGGTCCAGTGCACATGTGGTGGCATTCACCTCTCCAAGAATCCTGTCCACATCATCAGCTGAAAAGTATCCATTAAAACAGGACAAACAGGGGCCAAAGTTTCATTCACAAGGTCTGTATCAATTACAGCATCCAAATCAGAGTGCGAACGAGCGACTTTATCTGTGAAGTATTGTGTAAATTCCTCACAGCAGGTTATGAAGTGGTCAATATTTTGTTCTTTTGGTGGGGCATGTACTAAGCCCCTGACCACCCAAAACAACTCGACTGGATAACTTTGTGCAAATGCAATGGCAGCAGCAAAGAATATTTCCTTTGCTGCAGCCACTGCAATGGAATAAACTTTCAAATGGGTTCTAGCCAATGTTCAGCTGGATTCACTGAGTTTTCCTCCATCATAGCTCCAGTGTCCATCCCACTCGTTTCATCACTACCAGCTCCCTGGTGAACCAGGGGGGTTACCTGCCTCTACATTATGGGAGGGGCCGCTTAGGACTGATTGTGTCCACCACCCTCATTTCCCTATTCCAGAGATCAGTCAGAGATGAATGTTCATTATGTTCAGACATAATTTTTAAAAAAACGTTTTTGTTCATCAATGTGAAGGGACTGCTTCTGGTGCCCCTTGTGGGTGGTCTGCCCTTGTCCCATGCCATCTAGAGGACCTGACGGAAACCGTGGCTCCTGGGCCCCTTGGGGATGCAAACACAGGAATATGGGCTACAGGTGGAGAAGAGGAAGTAGAGGAGGATGTGATCTACTTGGGCAAGGAGGTAGGCCTGGAACCCAGGGAGAGGAATCTAGGATAAAGAAGGGGAGGAGGAGGAAGGTGGTGGCTCCAACATATATGACTCAATGAGGTTTGAAGGGAAGGAGTAGGGAGAAGTCAAGGAAGAACAGGACCCCTGTCTTTTGTATTCCTGAGGATGCGGCTATACATATGTGCAGAATCCCTAGACAGGGGTCAGGCTAGAGGTCCCAGTAGCCAAAGAGCACAGCAGCCCCCATCTTCAGCCTGTCAGTGTTGCCCACCCCAATATCAACTCTATAAAGTCCTCAGCATTTTGAGAGGGAAGAGATTGGATTTGACAGGGCGTTAATGGAGCTAATTCAACTCCTCAGTGGACTGACAGGATACAACTGGCACCCTCCTTTTCTTTGCATTCTTTTCCCCTACTTTAATAAAATCAAGTTCAAGTAGCTCTGGGAGTTTGGAGTTTATGGATATCATGTCCAAAGAGGGATTCCCAGCTCCCGCCACCTTAGGCAGGGGCAGCAGTACTCTCAATGAACCAACTTTGGGTTTATGCACTGACCTATTTACTCCTCTTGAGTAGGGAGGAGTCAAGGAAGAACTGGACCCCTGTCTTTTGTATTCCTGGGGATGCGGCTATACGTATGTGCAGGGGTCAGGCTAGAGGTCCCAGTAGCCAAAGAGCACAGCAGCCCCCATCTTCAGCCTGTCAGTGTTGCCCACCCCAATATCAACTCTATAAAGTCCTCAGCATTTTGAGAGGGAAGAGATTGGATTTGACAGGGCGTTAATGGAGCTAATTCAACTCCTCAGTGGACTGACAGGATACAACTGGCACCCTCCTTTTCTTTGCATTCTTTTCCCCTACTTTAATAAAATCAAGTTCAAGTAGCTCTGGGAGTTTGGAGTTTATGGATATCATGTCCAAAGAGGGATTCCCAGCTCCCGCCACCTTAGGCAGGGGCAGCAGTACTCTCAATGAACCAACTTTGAGTTTATGCACTGACCTATTTACTCCTCTTGAGTGGCCTAAGCAGTCTGAAAGCTCCCACTTTTAAGCAAAGTGCAGCTTTCTGTTAAGCCACAAAATCAGGATACTGTGGTCTATTAGAACAAGTCAGGATTCAAAACCACACTTTGATCCTGGTTTGTTCTAGCAAACAGACGAGAATTCCCCAAATTTGATCTATCAGGGACCTATGGTTTATCTAAAAATAGAAATGGCATTTTAATTGCCTCTTACTACCATGTAACAAGATAAAGTGGAGCAGCACACACAATTCAGGTTTATGCAGGATCTTTCAGGCAGCAGGAAACCGTATCTCTGTTATGTCTAAACGGCACAGGATGGATGATTAACTTATGGCAGCCTAACCCAATGTAGCATTGCCCATTTCTTTTGAAATGCACTGCCAGCAACCCCAATTAATATGGTCAATGGTGAGGCATGATGGGAACTGTAGTCTAAAAACACAGAGAAGAATTAGGTTGGGCAAAACTGATATATGGAAATAATAGATACAAAACATTTCTGTAGCACAAAGAATTAGCCTTATTCACAGAGGATAAGCAGTCCCCGTTCAGTGACCATATGCCTCCAACAAAAGTTGGAGAAACACACTGCCACAGAGAACTGTATTAGATGGCTTTCTGGTCTGATACAGCAGAAAGCAGGACTGGCATCCTTAGCGGCTACTGTACAGAGTCCGCAGTGTTGAGAGCAGGACAGATGCTAAAAAGGGAATGTGTGTTATGCACATCTGGAATGATGGCGGCAGAACTTCCTTGAGCAATAAATCCATCAATGGTCCTAAATATGATAGCTAAATTTTTTTAGATAGGCATCCTTCAGTCTCGAAAGACTATGGTAGCGTGCTCTGTATGGAGGACTTGGAACAGCGTCTAGTGTGGCTGAGGAGGCCAATTCGAGAGTTACAATCTCTTCCACACTGAATAGAATGTTGTATAAAAGCCTAGTGCAATGTGCTCTTTCTTTTCAGAAGCAACTGGTAAGCCAGCATCAGATAGAAGATGCTAGATGATATGGACTCTTTCTCATTAATCAAATGATTCGTATCTTGTTTATATTACCTGAGAATGTAGAGAGAGCGGCGCTCCAGCAGTAAATCTAGCCAGTCTTCTGGATTCTGCTCACTGACCAGGTGCATCACACTTGAAGACAGCAGGGAAAGGCCTGCAATGGTGCAGCCACAGAACTAGCAGAGGGGAACGAAAAAATCATGAAGGCCAGAATGGCATGAATAGATATATCTATCAAACTTTACATAGCTGGGTATTAGCCTTCATGTAGCACTAGCACTCCCGTGATAACATTTTGTACAAGAAGCACCTCATCATGTGAACCTTAATGCACACTCAAATGATGCAGTCCAAACATGAGCTTGCCACCTCAGAGAAAGATCGTAAGCAGTTAGGGACCCTTGCCCTTCATGAAAAGGTAGTATACCATTTCTCTTCATGAAAAGGTAGTATGACCTCATAGTCAGTGCTGTGAATTGTAAGGCTATGCCACACCGTCAATTTTCAAAAGCCAAAAGGTCCCACAGAAGTACAGAACTCAGGCAGAAGGTTTTAAAAATGCCTACCAAAACATTTATCTTAATAACATTAAATGACTAGCTGCATCATTCTGTTGTAACAAAATCTCACAGAACTAATAACAATCCTTACAGTCCTTTTGCTGGCAGGTGAAAATCTTCCTTTTAAAACTGGTCTTTGATTTGTGAACACTGGCAGGACTGAAGTTTTTAGGTGAGGTGACTTCTAAAAATTATCAAGTGTTTTAAATTTGTTTATGTTTTAATCAGTGATATTTTGATATTATTTAAGATTAAATTTAATACAGAGAACTTAATTTATTGTAATTTTCAAGATATGGCTGTGGCCACCTTGAGTCCCTTTGCTGGGAGAAAGGTGGAATATAAACATGGTAAAGAGATGGTAAAACAATAATATTTCATTTGATTTAACCCAGGTGTGGGCAGCTTCTAGAAGTCCAGGGTTGCATGTGCCCACTCCTGGATCTTCCAGGTACACTCACTCCCCACAAGCCAAAACAATTTTTCATATATTTTTTTAAATGGAAAGTATCCCCTTATGCCCTCTAGACTAGAGGCAAAAATATTTTGGAATGTGGAGAAGCCCCATGCCTGGCAAAACTGCCCCAAAGTCTTTAAAGGAGCACAAGAGCCTTTTGAATGAAAACAAATTAACCCCCCCCTTTTTTTTAAAGGGCCCTGTAAATATTGGGGCCACATTCAGCCCATGAACCACATTATCTTCAATCCTGATTTAATATTTTCCTTAACTACAAATTCAAGTCTACAGGAATCCACCCCACCCCCCAACATGGGTATTCTCATTTGCAGGGAGGGACCACAGAAAAGCACTGTGTACACTGGCCTCATGGATTTTGCAAACAATAAATCACCTATGTGGAACAACCAACACAGTACTCCCCTGGGATTCTTCCTTGCTAGTGACAATCACTGTGTGCTGTCAAGTTGATTCTAAGTTATGGCGAACCTTTCTAGGGTTTTCTAGGTAGGCAGTGCTCCAAAGTGGGTTATCATTCTCTTTCTCTCTGTGTGCTCTGGGGGACTATGTAGCGTGCCCAAGGCCACACAGGCTGGCTCTTCTCCTAGGAACTGAACTCCTGATCCATGGCTCTACAGTTGGGAATTCAATTCACTGAGCTCTCTACAACCTCTCTTTCATACCAATCCCCCTAATTACCGGAGTGACTTTCCTCATGCCGAAGAAGTTGCAAGAGAATGCTTTCTAGCTCTTTTGTGACATGTTACCTTGACACTGTCCACATGAGGTTTTATGTAGCCACTTTTATGCAAATCTAGGACATGGACTTGAGTAAGCTGTGGCATGCCTGGGGGAAAAGCTGCATCTCGGACCCTTTGCAAAATCTCATGACTTTCTTTGCTCCAGTGTGACTTTTCTGTCTCACGGTACTTATGGATAGCCTACAGAAGAGAGAAGAGATATTTTAATTTCAGAAAAAAAATGAAACAGTTGTTGACAACTGCAGCCAGGTCACAATTCACAGTGCCACCATTTGGTGATCATCATTACAAGGTGATTTTCACATGTCAATTTGTTACAAACAAAAGATCCCTTTGTATCAGTATAAGCACAATATTTTTCAGTGAAATCAGTTCGCATATCAAACACAGAACAATCAAAAGATATGAGATGTATTTCTGGGCGAAACATGGGAGGAAATGAATCTTTAATCAAAGGCCATGTGGGAAGAATGCAGAACTGGTCTTACCATTTGGCAGAGTCAGGCAACTAATGTGGAACAGAAGGTACAGACCCCAGTTATTCTTACTGAGCCCCTAGCCCACCCTAGTTATTGGCCTTTCTTGGAGTAAATAACTATGCATATCACACAACCCGTCTCACTCTTAGCCTAGACTACTGCTCTTAAGACAATTATCCTGTTCCAAGTGTTGAAGTGAGATGTACCTGTCAACCCGGCTGATGCCTGTTCATCTTGCCTTTTGTCTTAGGCACCAGAAATCTTTAAGCCAGCCCTGTGGGATGAAGCTAAGCCCCTTAAGAAAACAGCTCAAGGGGAAAGACTGGTTTTCATTTGGAATAGCTTTCATCTAACCAAAAGCCTAAGTAGAGCAGCATCTGGCCCCTTCCAGTGGCTGATCAGAAACTTTTGGGAAACTCCTCAAGCAGAACAGAAGTGCAACAGCCTTCTCCTGCTCTGGAGGCTCAATGACCACTTCTCTCAGGCAACACACAGCCATCAAGACTAGAAATGTTATCCATCACTGTATTTTCAACAGTGTAGCCAGCCAAATGCCTTATGGAAATTCATGTGCACAAAGGCAAGGAGTTGTATCTCAGATAAAGGGAATCTGTCCTGCACAACATTCCCTCTAAAACAGGGCTCTCCAAACTACAGCCCATGGCCCATATCCAGCCCACTTTGCCTTTTTATCCAGCCCCCACCCCCGCTGTCTTTACAACAGCAGGGGTGGGGCATCGCTTGGGTCCCCTTTCCCTCTTCTACCTATGCCTGAACAGGGGTAGGAAGAGTGAATCCTGATCTAAGCGATCCCCCCACCTCCGCTGTCTTTGCAAAGACAGTGGGGGTGGAGGATTGCTTGGGTCCCCCTTCCTCCTTCGGCCCTCGAAAATGTATAAAATACATGTGGCCCTCATACTGAAAAGTTTGGAGACCCTTGCTCTAACCCATGTGGACATGTACAGCACTGCATTGGGACCACACAACCAGTATTGCTGCCCATTTGCTTCTGGTTGCAGCCAGAAACCCCCAGGCATAAGATGGGGTTCCTGCTCCAGAAAATTAGAAAGAACTGGCCCTGCTTGCAGAAAATTCCAGGTTCAGTCCATGGTATCTCAAGTTTAAAATTAGGAAGCAGCAAGTGATAGTGAAACTTTAGCTGAGCAGTCAAAATAGATCGTACTGGGGTAGGGCAGCTTTCTATGCTCAAATACTTTCTCCTGAGCACTGTGGCACTGGAAAAGTACACTATATTTAAACATGGAAAAAGACCATAATTCCTCCATAGCTGCTAGCAGCCTTCAGCAGTCTACACCTCTATCCACCCCACGCCCTTTACAGGAAACCGATCACATCTGTGGCAGCAAATTCTGGAAAGAAGTATTTTCTTTTGCTTGGCCTAGTCTAGCACCAACCAAGTACTTACGATCGTCCCAACTTACGACCCGACTCATGACCGGCCGGCAGCGTACAGTAGCCAAGGCGGCAATGGCAGGGCCAGTCATGGCAGAGGGCGAGGCCAGGGTGACTGGCTGGAGTGCCCCATCCAGGAGGAGCCTCCCCTTCCAGTGCCTGGAGAGGTGGATCGCAGCGGAGGGGGGCAGGCACAGCCATGACGGCAGCCCAGGCCAGGCTCAGTCTCCCGGCACTGGGATGCTGACACCAGCCCACGCTGTCCCCATTCCCAGAGCCCGTCAGGCAGCAGCGGCACTCGCCTGGCCGCGCGGCTTCCTTTGGCGGCGCCTCCGCACCGGCCAGTCAGGCCTGGCGGAACCTCTCACCCTAAATGTGGCAGCTGAAGTGTTGCGTCGACGGCGAGGCCCACGGGAGCCCTGACACCAAGGCCCGACACGGCCACCCCAGGGGGCAATGTTGGGCACCCCGGCGGGCGAGCCACCTGCTGCTCTTCCACGGCCACCCAGGAGCCGCCCGCCAGCGGAGAAAGGGAGCCACCCCCCACGGTGCCAAGGACTGAGCGCTGCCCCGCCAGGCAGCGGTGGAGGAGGAGGCAGCCTAGGGGGCGAGGCTTTGGCGGCGGCGCTCAACTGGCCACGCGTGACCAAGATCCTTCCTTTCAAACGAAGGGAGTGATGTCAATGTATATAAATTTTTTAGGGGGTAAAGGGTAAAAAAGTTCCCTGACCCCTGGGTTAGTGTGTGTGTTTGGAGGAGGCTTCGGACTGCCTGGTAAGGTGCTGGTTTCTGCTTTTTAAAAACTGCCTGTTCTAGGTGGGTTTTGCAGCGTGGTTTTGGGCTGGGGAGGTTATGTTTCTGTGCTGTGATGGATCTTGCAGTCTTTGTTTTTCCCGTTTTTTCCCTGTTTCCGATGGGTCTTGCAGGATTTGTTTGCTTTTTCCCCCCAATGGGTCTTCCAAGGTTTGTTTGCTTTTTGGGTTTTTTCCCCTCATTTCTGATGTGTCTTGCAGGGTTTGTTTGCTTCCCCCCCTTCAGCTGGAATGGATTAATCGCATTTCCGATGGGTCTTACAGTAGTTTTTTTTTTGTTTGTGGGTTTTTTGGTGATTTTTTTGCCCGGCCAGAACAGATTAATCGCATTTCAATGCATTCCTATGGTAAATGGTGCCTCAACTTACGACCATTTCAAGTTACAACCATCTTCTGGAACGGATTAAGTTCATAAGTTGAGGCACCACTGTACCTGCAAAGATGGAATTGGGGGTGGGGGAGGGAGTTTACCCACTAACCAATGTTGCTTTTTACAGTAGAAAGTTTGAATGAAAAAGATCTGAACATCAAATGAAGTTATTACTAGGCATGAAATACCACATTAACTCACACAGTTTGCAATTTATGTCCACTACCCAATCACTGTCCCTTTATTTTGGAGCCATGTACAAAAATTTGCCATGTAGTCCCACTCTTATGTTTAAGGAAGGGGACTTGATCCATGAAAGTTCACATTAAAATATAGCAATTAGTCTTTAATGTACCATGTTTTTTACTTCATTAATTTTGTTTGTTTTTGGCCCAATATACTAGCAGAGATTAACACAACTACTTCTCCTAAAACCACCTCTATTTATGCTCTCTCCTATACAGTGAATGTTTTATAACTATTGCTGGATTCGTCCACTTTGCTAACCTATTTTATTATTATTATTATTATTATTATTATTATTATTATTATTATTATTATTATTATTATTATTATTATTATTATTATTATTATTATTATTACTGCTATTATGTGCTATCAAGTTGCATCTCATTTGTAACGACCTTAATAGGGCTTCCAAGGTAAGTGAGAGATTTAAAGGAGTGGCTTTACCAGTTCCATGCACACCCCAGTGAGATCGTGTGGCTGAGCCCACAGAATGGGAGCTGTGGAGGAGTTATGGTCTTTTTCCATAATCGCGTGGCTGAGCCCTGAGAACTCGAACCCAGGTCTCCTGAGTCCTAGTCTGTCACTCTATCCACCAACAGCACACTATCATGTTTTCATTACAAACTCAATTTCTAACCTGCTCTCTTCTCCCTGCTCTTATCTTCCCAACAACAGCCCTGCAGGGTAGGTCAGCCTGACAGAGATTGACTGTAGTCAAGGTCAAGCAGGGAGTGGCCTGGGTCATGGCGGACTTCAACCTGGGACCTGCCAGCCCTCTTCTAACCAGCACACCCGAACCCCCCCACACACACACACAAAAAGGCCACCCACCCCGTCCCAGTGCCCGTCTTCGTAGCGGCGGCGACGGAACTGAGGCTCCACTTCCTGAGCCAGCAACGCCTCCTCTGCCTCGCTGAGGAAATCCGGCACCACCGACGCGCCGCCTGCTCGCAGCCTCTGCCACAGCGCTTCACTGGACGCCCGGACCTCCGCCGGTAATATAAAGTATGCTATGCACACAAGGAGAAACAAGAGTGTACTGGTAAATTGGAATATGGTGTTGAATACGATGACCTAACATGATGGGCAGTAGCAGGAACCAGAGCATGGACAATTAAGTGGGCAGCCCCCAAAGCGGCCACAGCTTCTGCCACCGCCCTGCCAATACCGCGGCCACCAGGCAACGGCCGCAAGGGGCCCCGAACAGCCCCATTTTAAAGCCAAAGGGAAGGCCCCGCGGGGCATGACGGGAAGCCGGCCTTGGCTTAACTTGGCGTCTCCGGGTGTTCTGCGTCTGCGCGCGGCACCCCACGTGGTCTGGGAATGGGAGTGACCGTTCCCTGCCAAGACTGGGAACTGCGCCCTCCGCCTGGCTTCAGCCGCCCTTACTCTTAGGCATGAAAGGCAGCCGGGGATTCGCGTGAGCTTTCCTCGCTTCCGGTTTCCCCTCCACGCGCGATTATTGTAACGTGTGAAGGCAGCCCATGGGCAACAGGAGGTGGCTTCGGCCTCCTCCTCCTCCTCCTTTGATCCGCAAACACAGCACCTTTTAAACACCTACATTTCTAAAGCGAAGGCGATGCCGCAGTTGAACCCACTTCGACGTCACAAGAAGGACGAGAGGGGGTATTGAGGGCATTTGTGGTTGTGTTCTTCTAACCACAAGATGCTGAAATTCTCAGGGGGCAGTCGTGTGAATCCATTGCAGCAAAACCGTCGAGGAGTCTTGTGGCATCTTCAGATATCTTCAGACATCTGAAAAAGTCTGGAAAGCCTTATGCCAAATACTGTAAAACTTGCAAATCCTGGAGGTGCCACCGGACATCTTATTGGTTTTTTGAAGTATTTTCAGGTAATACTGTATTTTAATACCACACCGCCCCCTAGAGGTGTGCTCGGCAATTACATTCAACACAGGTGGATCTGGGCTCGCCCCATTACAACGTTTGCATGTACAGTAATGAAGTCCTAGAACTTGGGGAGCCACACCCTTTTATGAATCCTTGTGAAGGCACTTGGGGTTCATTTCTCCTCAGTTGCACTGTAACAGACATGGCTTCAGCCAGCATCTCAAGAAAATTTGGACATACTGACTCTCGTGCTGCCTGGATCCTACCTGTCAGGATTAAACTTCAATGGGCCAAAATGCCGAAGATTCAAAGAAGACCCTATCTTGGTTGAAAGCATACAACAGCCTTTCTCAAAATAAAGTCAGAGACCACACCTCCTTAAAAACAATTTTTATTTCTGCTCCTTAAAGAGCAGTTCCCAGTATAAATATCAATGACGACAAACAACATTGTATACATAGTTTAACAGAGACAACATAATACTACTAGCACCTCCAAGTACAAGCAATAAATAAATGTTGGAATTGCATATGAAACGATGTTAATTGAAGTTCCTATTGAACCAACATTTCTACTCCACCAACATTTCAGCTTCCTATTACAACAGCACCAAAATAACACTGAAATGGCATTAACAGAATAAAGTGCATTTAAAAACAAAAGTATTCTGGAAGATATCTCTAGAGGAAGTTGTCCAGAAATTGATCTAAGAGCTCACCCGGAGGGTCCTCTTTCATGAGTGTATCTGTTTGGCAAGCGATTTCTTTGTGGCTCTCCTTAACTTGGCTGAACAGTGGAGGAGAAGCTGGCCTAGAGGAAAGAAATACAGAATAGGTGTGCATGCAGGAGGCACACACAATTTCTTTGTTCCTTGTGCATGAGCCCTTCGATATCTAAAGACCCCTTTTGCCAGGTCTGATTTGTGGATAAGCAAGGTTTGATAGAAGATTTTCCATAACAGGTGCTTTTCCAACATGGAACCCACATTTGCATTATTAAGTCTTTGTCACACTGTTGTTTTGTCTCCCTACCTGCTACAAAGAATCACCTCCTATGGTCTGTTGCTCAGGGCATGAATTACATGACTGTAAAGCCAAGCAAACCCCAGCTTTGTCTTAAGAGCGATAACTAGCAAAATCTTTACACAGAAATACAACATACAGTTTTTGGGAGGCGGCTGTTATGGCCAGTGAGGTTGGGTGCAGCTAAACTAAGGAGCTGGACAAGCATACGGTCTGGAGGGCAAAATATTTTTAAATAAATCATAATGCCAAGGAAAAAGTTAAAATATGGATAAACTCAGATGACCTATCTGCGCAGACAAAGACGTGTGAACGCAGATACCTTGTCTTGACCCACCCAGAAGGGATTCCTAAGCCTGCTTGAAGTAGATCAGGTTTCTGGACCACCCTCACCCTGCCGCCTAAAACATAGTCATGAACACAGTAGAGTCTTACCAGTTTTCTGCAAGCAACGCTCTCTGCCTACTTGTGGTGGGTGTGGCAGGGTTAAAGGCAAGCTGTCTTCTTCTGAAAAGCTCACCGGAAGTACGATGTGGAGTGAAAATGACCTTTGGCCTTGGGTAAGGGGTACAGACAGGTTTGACTCTCCTCCTTATATTGGGAAAGTCTTCACGCTCTGTGGCCAAGAGAATAAGTTAGCAGTCAACTACAGAACAGCTGAGTGTGTGGGCCGTGTCCTGCTCTTTCAAACAAACAATCTATCCATCTGAGCATCCTGCTATGCTTCCAATGGCTAGCAAGATGTTTCCAGGAAATCAGAGAATGAACACAATAGCAACCCCTTGATTGCTACCAATCCCCTTCAATTCCCCATCTGTGCTTGTATTCAGAAGCATACTGCTGATAGTCAATTATGGATACAGCACCCATAAACTTGTCTAATCAAGGTCGCCTAATCCAGTAACTGTCACATCTTATTGTGCCTCCCCTACAAAAAATTCTGCACATGTAAAGAACGTTTCCAGAGTTTTGGACTACAAATCCTAGAATCACTCAGGTGGGCTGGCCACTGGCTAGGAAATTCTAGGATTTGTGTCCCAATGGAGTAACTGTTCCAAGTCTACATCAAATTCATTTGCAAAGCAAAGCATTCTGCTTATATACCGCCCCATAGCGCTTCAAGCACTCTCTGGGTGGTTTACAAGTTAATTATGCAGGCTACACATTGCCCCCCCCCCCAGCAAGCTGTGTACTCATTTTACCGACCTTGGAAGGATAGAAGGCTGAGTCAACCTTGAGCCGGCTACCTGGGATTGAACCCCAGGTCGTGAGCACAGTTTTGGCTGCAGTACAGAGGTTTAACCACTGCGCCAGGTGGCTTTGGTGATCCTTATGTGAAGAAAAGCCTTATCTTCCACTTTATATACGCATTGTCCAAAATCCTGCTGCTTAGCATAGTAAATCACATTAGATCAGAGTAGGCCTATTGAATCAACCATTATTTGGTGAGTCATCTCCTCCATACGACCATTTAATTCAAATGAGCCTACTCTAACTGTGACGTACTGTAAGCATAAGTCACAACTAGAATCAATGGAATGTATAGAGGAGTAGACTAACCAAACCCCTATTGATTCAATAGGCCTACTTTGATGCAATTTACTACACTAAGCAACAGGATTTTGGCCAATGTGTACTCATTATTTTTTGGTAATTTCCTCTCTTTAGAGTTAAAAAAGCCTCATTCTGCTTTTTTTAAAATGGAATAAAAATATGATCATCGTACACAATCTGCAAACAAGAGTGGGCAAATATCATTATCAGATCACCAAAATCTCACAAACAGGCAAATTTTCAGGTCCTGCAAGACTTGTCATCAGGCTGGGCCTTAAGATGAATAAGACAGTCATCTACAACCACAGCCAGGAGATTTACCCATTGCACATGAAGGAGTGCACCAAACCGAGGACTACATTTGCCTCTAGCCATTGGCTTCTGTACAAGGCAATGGGAAAGCTGCTGAAGGATTGGCAGACTCCTTTGACTCCATTTTGGTTTGTACTGTAAACAATAGCCAGGCCTCAACATCTGGCCAGGACAATTTGGGGGATTTTTTTTCTGTCTCATCTGCACGCATACCCTCTCCAGCTCTGTCATGTCCAGAATGAGGAAAAGTCCTGCTTGCCTGTTTGTGAGATTTCAGTAGCCAAATGGCTTTCACTTTTTCTTTTTCCAGCCTCTTGGTCATTTTGATTGACTAATGAAATTTAAATAAAACCAGTTGTCAGAGAGGTACTTAGAATACAGCAACACGTTAGAAGGGATGGGGAGGAACGAGAAGGGAGGTGATGCTCCAGTTGAAGCAGAGGAAATGAACTGCTGTTGCAGGAGAAGCAGCAGCACTGAGATCAGCAGAGTGTACAAGGGAGAGGAGCCACAAAAATATGGTGGAGACCATATCTGACCCATGTAATACCCCTGGACAATCGCTGACTATCTGGAGAGAATGGCAGTGATTGTGAACATTCCACAGTTAAATCCTGTGGAAACAAAACCTAAGAAGAGCAGTTCTGAATGGGGCCTGAGGCCTGGCTAGCCCACCGTTCAGTTCCTATCAGCAGCCAACAAGATTTCTGTGGGCAGTCCATAAAAATGGCATGACTGCCGCTTCACCCTCCTCTTGTGCCCCCCAGCAACAAGTAAAGGGAAGCTTACTGCCCCTGCTGCTGAAGAGGGTGCATAACTGGTCACAACTAGGCATCACTGACAGTGTTATCTATGGAAGATTTATCTAATCTCTTTTCAAAGCTGTCCAAATGGGTGGCCAGCACTATGTTATGTAGGAAAATGGGGAAGAAAGTAGGCTCAACAGCAGCTCAACCTGTGGGATGGCTGCTGAGTTCACAGCATAATCTCGTGCACTTTCAAATGGGACTGGGGGGGGGGAGGAAGTTTTTCAAAGGCAGTCTTTCCAAAAACACTCTTGTCCAATTGTCTGTGGTGGCAGCTTCTCCCTCATGCTGAAAAATGGCCTCATTCAAATTCTCCACGAATTGCAAAAAATATTTTTAAAACCCACAAACCTCTTAGAAAGAGAGAGAGAGAGAGAGAGAGAGAGAGAGAGAGAGAGAGAGAGAGAGAGAGAGAGAGAGAGAGAGAGAGAGAGAGAGAGAGAGAGAGAGAGAGAGAGAGAGAGAGAGAGAGAGAGAGAGAGAGAGAGAGAGAGAGAGAGAGAGAGAGAGAGAGAGAGAGAGAGAGAGAGAGAGAGAGAGAGAGAGAGAGAGAGAGAGAAAGAAAGAAAGAAAGAAAGAAAGCAATGGGCATACATTGTGATGCTTCTGCCTATGGGAAATTCCATCCCGACAAAGACAGACAGACATATGTGTGCCACTTGGAGACCCTGAGGGAAGACTGAGGAGTATTTGCTAACTAACTAACTAACTGACTGACTGACTGACTGACTGACTGACTGACTGGTCTGGCTGTTAACCCAAGCCAAATCTTCATAGACATATGGAGCTGCTCTGCTTTCCTAGCACTTGAGGAAAGCACTTCCTCTTTCTTTCTTCTCCCAAGAAATGTGACTCTGTTTCCTGTGATGCACTGTTGCTCTTTCAGGAAAACAGAAGACCAGAAAAAGAAGGCTATTCTTTTGGAGTCCAGTGTTTTCTTCTGAACATTAAAACACACCCTTACTTGACATTCTAGAAACATGTGATAGGCAAGGGTTCGTGTCGCTGCAGCAAAAACACCACAGTCCTCCAAACAAGAAGCTGTTCTCAAGTGGAAGAGGATTACCTTGCTCCTCTCTGGCACACACTGGGATAGAAAACCTACGAATAGGATCTCTAGTAGCTAGCTTTGGAAATGACAAGAGGAATTCTTGCTTCAGGAACTGGGCCTTCTCTTCTTCAAACTGCTTTCTCTGTTTAAGGAGGAAAGAGACAGATCAATACTTTCAGACTTCTACTGAACGATCCCAGCCACTTCAAGGGTACTTAGGATTTCTTGCTACAGATCCAGTTCTCACAGAGGTAATAGATCTATCAATTTGTAGCACCTCAAAGTGTAGGTGGCAGTTCACATAACTCAATATTTCTTCATTAAAGAAACAAAGAAAAAATAACAGTCCTTCACAGACAAAACATGATGATGAGAACTTGGGTTCCAACATAGCCATATGTGATCGCATATAGAGATGGAATTGGTTTGTTGTTCTTCCTGTAGAAATAAAAATACATACTATGGGCAAATTCCAAAATCCCCAGTCAGGCAATACCTTTGCTAGGAGAAAATCTAAATATTCCAAATTAGCAAGAAAGTATCTGAGTTCCCCAGGACTCATTGCCTGAACAGTTGTGAAACAGAAGCATAGGAGGTGGAAAGAAAAAATGTTGTGGCTTCAGGCAAGAGCCACAAAAACTGCATTTAGTCAAGACAGAAACCCTGTCAGGCTTTAAAATGTTTGGAGCTCACATGCACTGAGGGGAATGAACCAGCCATGGCCTTTCCATCATTTCATCTCTTTAATCATGGAAATGTAGTTATTTGCAGAGAAACAAACTACTCCGTCCATGTCTTTTCATGTGATCTGGAAACCTGACTTTTGGCAGGGGTGGGTGGGTTCTGCTCATGTGGAGAAAGGATCTAAGTCTAGCAATCTCTTTCCAGACAGGTACACTTCCACAATTAAAAAGATGATGGGGGGGGGCTGGCCCAGCACACTCCCCTCAACTCACATGGGCTCACAGGCTTGAAAGCATAATTGAATCGTGACTGAGTGCAGAAACAGATAAGACATGCCTTTGAATACTGTTAAGTCATATAAAAATGCAATAAAACTCAATTGTCACCTAGAACAGTCGTTTCGGTTGGTCCTGACAAATGTATTGCCTGACTTTGGCCTTTTCTCTTATGAATCTCCTTAACTTCTTTTATTTATTTATTTTGTATGCGCACAGATATTCACAAAGTGAGAACCTAAAAAGGCAATTAACCACTTCCAAGGCAGGATTGCTGTTTTTAATTTTTCAGACTGCTCAGGAGGACGGATCCTTGCAGGTGGTTTAAATACTGTAACGCACTAGTTGCAAGGAGCAACGGCCGTTGCTGATTGCTGTTGCGCTAAGAAGCAAACCGCCTACCTCCCATCCCAGCCGAATAGCTGCCTCAGTGAAGTTTTCCCGTTCTCTTTCAAATGCCCGCTTCTGCTCCTCAAACAAATCCTGCTCCTCCTGAAGCCGCTGCTGTTCTTCCAGGAAGTAGGAATCCTTCAGGTGGGCTGGAAGCTCTGAAGTGGTCACAGCAAACAGCTGCTCCTGAAAACAGAAAATGTGTCACTGTGGGTGGACAGAATAATGCAAAACAGCCCTGCTTAGAAATCAAGCAGTGGGACTCAGAACATAACCTCATCCATAAGGAAAATAAGAACAAGTATGTCTTGTTTCTAATTTATTTTGATTGCATGCCAAGTTAATGGTCATGGCTCCTCCTCCAACCAAATCTGATATTCGTGGTTCAATCAGGGTGCCAACAATTCTATCGGGAAAGTCTTTATTTTCTTTCCAGCAGAACTACAGCCGCCAGGATTCCTCGGAAGCGAAGACCAGCTACCAGTTTGCAGCACAAACGTGCTCTGGAAAGTTTTAGCCACCAGAGGGAGCCAGGAGGCCAGCAGATGAGCCACAAAACTTTAAGAAAACTTTCCTCTACTGGAAATTCACTAACAAAATACAGTAAGACCCTGCTTTTCGAGCACTTGGAAGCAGCCGAGGCTGGCGGGTGACTCTGCTTTCTGGGGTGAGGTCCCTGAATCGGATTTGGGTTCCAATTCAGACTTTATGGCAACTTTTCAAGGTGCTGAAACCCCCCTCTGCAAAATACATCTTGCATGCTGGATAGCTCCATTAAAGTTTGGAGTAAAGCCCAGAATGGCTTCATCAGCCTGTCCTGCTGGAAGCACATTATTCAGAACTCACCCACATCCCATAAGCCTTGGCAGCTCTCCAAGACCAAACAATATTCCCCTCCCTGCCAATGATATACTTTCAGCACCTGCTTCTCTAGCTATTCTGGGTACATTTCAATTTGCGCAACTGGAATTCCTCAGAGAGGAACCAGCCATCGCACAAGCACTCAACAATCATCCTGCCTCATTGATTAGGGCTGCAGGAGAATTGGATGAGAAGGCAGCGGGAGTGGTGAGAATGCCACCTTCCAAGATGGGGTGATTCCTGAAAGTTTGAAAGAGGTGGCAATGAAACCCATAGGGATATATCTCACCCCCCAAATCCCACCGGACTGCAGAATTTCTAGCCAGTCACCACCCTCCATTTTGCCAAAGTGCTCAAACATGAGTTGGCCCTCTCTACTCTCTTCTTTCCTGGAGAGTATTGCCTTAGTTACGTAGATCAGGAATGGTGGAACATCATTGGGCGAGGAGGCTGGATCCCACCACCTCATGGGCCAGATGACATCTTGGAAGGAGATAACAGCAGGATTCTTGCTGTGTACTCTCCAATTTCCCCGTCTCAGAGGGGCATGACTTGGAAGCATGGGTTTCCATGTTGTTCTGGGCCACGAAGTTGGAAGTGATTTATCCTGACCCTAACAGGGCTTTCAAGGTAAGAGAGATATTAAGGAGTTTAAAATGCAGAAACCTCTGATAAAATATCTGCACTGCTTCCAGTCTGCTTCCAAGTGCAATGACATCCGGAGCTCTTCATTGTTTGGAGTCAGAATACCTGTGAACCTGCCCATCTACGACGATTGTCCCATATTCTTCCCGTGTGTCCTGGCATTGCTAGAATTACACCTAGCGGAAATGTGAATATCTAAGGGTTTTTCAGTGGGCACCTTTGGACTCCCTCTCAAGGGAAACTCACCTCCTTTCTTCTCAAATCAATCTTGATAGTTCTCTTTCCTCAGTATCCTCTCTATTCTGTTTTAGTAGTTTTATTACTGGTTTATTGCTACTATCAAACAGTTTACAGAGTGCTGTCCTCTGAAGATGCCGGCCACAGAGACTGGCGAAACGTTAGGAAGAACAACCTTCAGAACACAGCCAAAGAGCCCGAAAAACCCACAACAACCAGTTTACAGAATAGTTCAGTTACTGTTTGGTTTTATGTTAACTTGCCTTGGATTTGTTGAGGAAAGGTGGGTATAAATATTTTAAGTAAATTAATTGTTGTTCACCACATCACTGAGTTCTAGACTAAGCCACCAATACAAGTGTTTTGCTTCGGTTGTTAAGCATTAAAACAGGTGAAGGGGGGGAAAATCCGACCAACAGGCATGTTGTACCTGTAAACACTGCTTCAGTTGCGCGATCTGCACTCTGCTCTCCTCAATCTCTCCCTTGAGCTTCATTATTTCCTTGTCGTGATCTGTCACGCTGATGACAGGGTCTTCCCCTTCTTCCTCAGACATCTGGGAAACAAGGGTATCCACAGCTGTGGGAGAACCATGGAGGGAAAGTTTGGCTGCCTTAGGACTGAACTTTTCAGCTCTGTGAGGTCAACTTGGGAAGATTCCTCTGAGAGATATGGCTTCTGGGACATTTGATTGTTGAACGAATTAAACTGCTAAACTTCTACAGCAGTTTCTAATACGAAAGCAAAACTATCTTTAAACATTTTCAGCATTCACAACCAGTGTAGTTTAGTAGAGAGAGATGGAAGTCTCAGTTCCATTACTCTCAAATAAGCCACTCCCTCAGCTTCAATTCCCCCACCTGTAGGACACGAGCAGTGACGTGACTTTGACAGTGGCTGCAGAGACTGCACAGAGGCAGTAGCTTGTATATTTTCAACCTGTAAACTAAGCCTTTTCATTTGTTGTATATCTAAAACACCACACCTTTGCCTTACCACAACATCAACTCTGACTGTATCCTCACAAGAATATTGAACTATGTTTTTGTGTGAGGAGGTGCCTTTGTTTTCAGTAAACTTGGTTGACTGGGAGGTAGTACAGGAGGATTATGATTAGAATTGGGCTCAACTAGAGTTAAAACACACTAAAGAAATACAGGAGTAAAGCGCATAACACACATAAACCCAGCAAGTTTGAATCCTTCATGCTCTCCAGGAGCCCACAGAATCTCACAATTTTTCAAAAAAAAATTCTGGAAGAATATTAAACTCAAAAAGTACTTTTGTGCCCACAAGAAGGTATGGGAGGCAATTTTGCGGTGTTTTTGAGGGGCTCCCAGCATGCTCAGCTGCCCTCTTAATTTTGGGAAGGTGGGGGGGGAGGAATTCAGCTACTAAAACAACATTTTTGTATGAAAAAAATTGAGGCGGAGGTAACTGGAGTGTCCCTCTGGGGTTCAGGGACAGATGTGTGCAGCCCGTGGACTTCCTGAGATCGCCCCCCCTCTCCCCACACCCGCTTTTAGTCCTTCATACCTCCTTTGGAAAATGTAGCTTGAAATAAGTAAATCCTGTGCTCTAGACGAGCTACAAAGGGGCATTTTAAGGGACTAGGCATGAATGACCAAGCTTTGGGTGTTGTGTGCCTCCAGTTTTCACACTATGCCTTCCACGTCTTCTTAGCCCACATTCAGGGGCTCAGTTGTTTAAGACACTGGTTCTCAACCTTGGCTTACTCAGGAGCTGCGGACTGCAACTCCCAGAAGCCTTCACCACCAACTGTGCTGGCTGGGGGTTCTGGGAGTTGCAGTTCAAAAACATCCAAGTAACAAAGGTTGGGAGCCTAGGGTTTAAGACACTGGTTCTTAACCTTGGGTTACTCAGGTGTTTTTGGACTGCAGCTCCCAGATGTCTTCACCACCAGTTGTGCTGGCTGGGGTTTCTGGGAGTTGCAGTTCAAAAACACCTGAGTAACCCAAGGTTAAGAACCAGTGGTTTAAGAGATCATGACGAGGCGGAACACAGGCAATGCCAGGGAGATCTGCAACACAGAGTTGTAGCATACAGTGCTACTGCTGAGGTTCTCCCCACTCCTATTGGGTAACGCTAGTGTTCTAAGTTATGCAATAACACTAAAATATGAATGGAAGACAGAAAGTCAGGAACCAGTGGATTGAAGAAGACTAAGAGCTCATCTAGTCCAACCTTTCACTTCCGGGTGCCTCGGTGAAGTTTCCAAAGAAGTCATGAAAACAAGCACCCTTCATCAACAGTTGTTTTTGTTATTCAGAGAAATGACTGCCTCTGTACATAGAAATTCCATTTGTTTACCGTGTTTCCTCCATGAATTTGTGCAATCCCTTTTGAAGCCAATGTAAGTTAGTAATAGTGTTTTATCTCCTGTGTCAGAAAAGGATCTGGGAGCTAGAGGAACCAGCAGGAATTTGCAGCAACATCCAAAACCATACCTTGCCAACCGAGCATCTTTATCCTGTTTTTAAGGCTGCGCCACTGTTCCTGAAAGGTCTCGTACGGACAGGTTTGCTCCATGCCCTTGAGAAAAGAAAGCAGAGCAGGGTCACCAAGGAGGTCACCAAGGAGGTCAGAGGTGGGGGGGCTCAGCTGTTGCTGCCCCTAGGCAGAAGCCCCACCTCAGCGGTGCTCACCTTGATGCGCAGCAGTTCCTCCAGATCATGGCCCACTTCATTCATCAGCTGCTTCAGTTTGGCATTCTCTTCAGCCAGGGCCTGTTCCCGCTGTTCTTGCTTGGCCAACTGGACGCGGTAGAGTTCCTCCTCCTTCCTACCATGCAGGGGATTGGTGGGGGGGGGGAGATAAAGTCAAAAGAATTAGGATATTTCCTGACAGTATCTTAATATTCCATCTCCATACCAGATTATATACCACCTTCTGATCTTCAGCAGCTACCCTTGCTAGCTATATACCAGGCAGTTCCCACAGCACCGTGGTGCTGTTCCCCCTGCTCAGATGATTCCTGCCTCATTCAGTATCCTCCACGTTCAAACTGCATCTCTTTGCTGGTGTAGCTGGGTGTAGCTGGAATTGTTGCATGCATTAACAGTGGGTATCAGTGGGAGGGGTTTTTATAGCCTATGGTGATAGTTCTTTGCCACCCTTTTTGCTCTCTTTTTCCTCTGAGCATCCTCTGAGAAGCATGCATGGGTGTTCTCACAATGTCTGGAAGTGCCATTCTCCCCCCCACCTTTTCAACTTCTGACTGTAACTACAGATGGCAACTGAGGGGAGTACTTTTTCTACTTTAAAATGGCTTCTAGAGTGACTTCTAATTCGGAAAGAGCTAGCTTTGTGTGCAATGGGGGGGGGGTTAGTGAGACTGGGCTGATCCTTCCACATGTTTGTGTTTTTCTGTTTTGTGCTCTGTTAGCTAAAGGAATAACCAGATTCCTACTAGACACATTTTCACCAAAATCTCCATCAGGGCTTGGGGAAGAATTGTTGTCTTAAAATCTGGAAAGCTGTCGCCAGTACAAGCGGTCTGACTTGGTTCCTCCCTGTTTTCATACAGAGCTCGCCAGCTTCTGCACAGAATGATCTCTTCCGCCATGCTCAGCCCCACCTGCCTGAATGACACGGGGGGGGGGGGGAGAAGCCAACTCCTTACCTGCCAAGACCTGCCAAGAGACTTCCCAGTTTTCCAAGTTCCCCTCCTGCCATCAGCCCGAGGCATGGCATTGAGGATGTCAATTGCTAGGGACAGCAAAGCAGAAGCCTGATCAGGTGTTTCTGCACCCTTCACGTGCCCATCCCCCAGACCTTCCTCAGATACCCCAGTTAAAAGCACGCACACACTTTCAAAATGCTCACAACTAAATTCACAGGGTGCTGGAGTGAATGGGGTAGTAAATATTCCCAACTGCAATTACATCAGTTGCAATACCAGGTTTAAAAACTCCAGTCCTGGATAAAACATTGCAGTTTCCACCTTTATTATTGTTTGTTATGTTACAATCCATCAAGTTGCATCTAACTTACAACAACCTTTATAGGGTTTTCAAGGTACGTGAGATATTGAAGGAGTGGTTTTATCAGTTCCACTTCCCCAGTGAGATTTCAAGGCCAGGTAAGGATTAGAAACCAGGTTTCCTGAGCCCTAGTCATTCACTCTTTCCCCTCTACCACGTTGAGTCCTTCATTATCTTTTTCATTATATGTTTTTAAGAGCCAATTAAAAACTTGGCTCTTTAGGCAGGCCTTCCCTCCTGTCAATACTTGATTTTATTTTTATTAGAGTTTTCTGTTTTCCCATCTTGAGCATTACTTAGCATTACTAATCACTATTGTTTTGAATTCTTTTTAACTGTTTTAGCTTACAATGTTTAATGGAACCCACCCGGAGTAGACTTTGTCTAAAAGGGCGGGATAGAAATCAAATCAAATCAAATCAAATCAATCAATCAATTTAGTGTTACATCCTCTTTTTCCTCTGCTGATGTCAAGAGGGCATACACAGATCTACTCCTCTCGTACTTTATCTCCCTAACATGTTAGCTTAAGCTCAGAGAGTGTGACTCACTCAAGGTTACCCAGTAAGATTTCTATCTCAGTGGGAACTTGAACTCAGACCTCTTAACTGCTACACAACCCTGGGTCTCTACTTCAAGCACACTGCCAGTCTCGTTGCCACTCAAACCTCCCTCCCCAAGAGGCTGTTTACTTCCTCCTCTTTGGTGCTTCTTGTCCATCGTCAGCTGGTTCATCTTTTCCTTAAGCCGCAGTAGCTCTTGCTCCTTCTTCTTCGCTTCAATGAGGAGCTGGTTCTTCTGCGTTGCAAGGGCATTCTGGAGCTTAGTGATCTATGAGGACAAAGGATCATTCAATGTTAGGGTAGCAGCTGGAGCCCCATTCCAATTCCCATAGCCTGATTTCCTATGTTTAGCAATGCGTGTATAAGAAAAAAAGGGTCAACCTTTCCACAAGGTCACTTATTTTGACGGGCAAATGTTGGTCAAAACAGATGTTTCAAATGTTAGACTGCAGGTACTGTTAGGAGCCCGAAATAATCTAGAAGATGCCTGCAGTCAGAAATCATCACACAGTACTAGGAGAGGGTTTATTTTGTTCCAACTGTACTACTGTCATAATATTTTAATTTGGTCTTCTCTTCCACCTTAGACCATTGTTTTATGGCTTGCATTTGGCTGGCAAATCTCTCTGCTTCAGAGATTCATTAATTAGATACTTTTATCTTTTTACTTTAAATATAAGATTCAAGCTTTTCCTTATCTCTAAATTCACACTGTATTCCACTCCATCCCTTGCATGCTCTTTATTCTTGCTGCTTGTTAAACTTTCTACCTCTTCTCACATTTCATGTTTTCATGCTTTTGCCATTATTGCTCTTTATCAACATAACTCTGTCAATCAATACTCATCTAACTGATTCTCTTATAACTTCAAGACACGTTTATTTCAGGTTTTCCAATGCCCAGCTGTTTCCATCCTTTTCTTTATTCAACCACAAAAAAATAGTTTTTAAAATTATTTTTACTGAAAGTACATTATAAATCCATAGGAATGAGCCTGGTTTTACATGCTCTGTACAGTACTTAAGTCATTTTGATGGCTCAGGGCTAGAGATGGGCATGAACCAGAAAACTGGTGGTTCATGATGTTTTAGGGCTTGTGGCTACCTACAAATGACACACTATCAGAAACACCCCCCCCCCCAAAATGAACCAGTTTGTGGTTCTCTTTTTTTGGGTTCATGCCTACCTGTCAGTTGAGCAGTGGCCACATGCACACAAAGCAGCAGGCCTGGCTTCTGTGCAAAGAGTTAGGCCTGCTGCATCTCAGGATGGCGGCGATGGCAGCAGAGGCAGAGGCATCCCGTTTTGTCAAAGCAAAACAAAGCACAAAGGGAAAAAGTCTGGCACTTTATTTTGTTTTGGCAGAATGGGATCCCCTAACCACAAACTGAACCAAGAACCAGCTCAGCTTATGTTTGTTCCTGGTTTGGTTTGTGCCTATCACTACTCAGAACTGCTAGTTACCATCTATTAATTATTAAATTGATCTCCATCATCGTCAGATGCAGGTTAGATAAAACTAGGCAGTGATTACATCCCAAAATCCTAAATCACTGAGCTCTTCCTCGATCCTTCATTTCTGTGAGAGAAATGAAATACATCCTAGGGCAGACTTGGGCAAAGTGCGGCCCGAGGGCCACATACGGCCCGCGAGCCGCTCCTATATGGCCTACAGACAGTTTTGAACATCAAAACCATTTATAAGCTTTTTGTCTAAAGTTGATCAGTTGCTTATCTATAACATTACCGCAAAAAAACCTCTTTAGTATTTGTGAAGATTAGCAAGTTTAAAATAAAAAGAATCATAACATCACTGTTTCATTTTATTTTTAAGTAAAGTTGGTTCGGCCCCCGGAACACAGTTCAGATTTTTCATGTGCCCCCCCCCTATAGAAATTAATTGCCCACCCCTGTCCTAGTGAGTTGCTCACAGATCTTGGAAAAATGCTATAACTTTTCCACGGGTGGAACTAAACCCTTCTTAAATTTATGGGAAAGGGGATGCCAACTGGACTTTCTACCTCCAGCTTCATAGCTACCCCAATTCACTCACCTCATCTTTTTCTTCCTTTAGCATGCTAATTAGCTGCTTGTTCTTACTTTGAAGTTGCTGCTCTTTGTTTTTACCTAGATTCAATCCTAGGTAGCCGGCTCAGGGTTTACTCAATCTTCCATCCTTCCAAGGTTGGAAAATTGAGTGTCCACCTTGGGGGTGGGGACAATGTGTAGCCTGCATAATTAAATTGTAAACTGCCCAGAGAGTACTTTAAGTCTAAGCAGCACATTTTGCTTTTGCTCCATTGTTTTGGCATGAGACGATGGAAATGGTAAGCAACAGTGGTTAAAAATGAAATCTTAAAAAAAAAAAAAAATCTAAAAACACATTGCAAAAACTGAAATATTGATGTCAAAATCTCCCTTTTGAAGTGTAGTTTCAGAACACAAATCTGATATCAAAACCACCTGTGTTTTTATTGGTTGCATTACATATTTTTAGGTATAAACATAAATAATTTGCCAAATTTTGTAAAAAAAAAACAAACCTGGCTGAAGCTTCTTATCACATGCATCCCACAACTGACTGTCAGACAACACATAAATACTGTCTGTTTATGATGTGCAGCGTGTGTTCAGTAGCTGCCTTGAAGTCTAAGGGGTATAAATGGAAAGGACTATTGGCCAGGGCTGTGTTTATAAGGAAGAATTCCTGGCTGGTTGTTCCCAATGGCCAGGTCTCTGGAAGGCTGAACACAGACTGCCTTACTATGAAGAGAGGTTCTAAGGTGGGCTGGATACTCTCCAAAAGTAAGATGGTCAAAAGCAGATAAACCTGCCCAGTGAGCAATGGCACACAATGTGCTCCACTCCATTTCAAGAGAGTTTGGAGAAAGTATTTCCAAATGGATTGTTGCCTGTGCTTTTAATGATACCATCTGCGTTTTGTTTTAGGGGTTTGTTTTTTTTAAGAATCAAATATCAGAATGTCTTGGGTTAGTTCTCGTGAAACTATAACAACTGCACAAGATGCAATGTGGTACAAGCAATATAGAATTGGGAAGCTCTCACCTTGAGTTTGCCATGTCGCATTCTCAGGTAATCCAGTTCTCCTGCCCGCCGCACATCCTCTGCCTCCATGTCGCCCAGCTTGGCCATTGCTGCTTGATACAGATTTAGCAGCTCACTAGTGCCATTCACCAATGCCAGTAGGTCAAATCCATGCTCAGCACCATCTCCAGAACCATCGTCCTTATATAAGGCAGGGAGCCCCAGCATCACCAATTCCTAGTCACACAACGAGTAGTTGAAACATAGTAGAGTTACTGGAAGAGTCCAATAACTCTTTGCCTCAATCCAGTTCCTTCTTGTTTCCTGCTCCTCTGAGCACAGATGTGCATTAGAATCTAGCTTTTAAAAACAACTGGGAAAAACTTCCCAGCTTAGGGATACAAGAGGCCTAAGGTACAAAAGAAGTGCATGAAATTATGGGATGTTGTTGAGAAAGTGAATAGGCAGAGGCTTTCTCTATCTGTCTTTCCTAATACGAGAATGGAGTGGGCAAGTGTGGCCTCCAGATGTTGCTTACCCGCCACTCCCAGCATTCCTCATTATTGGCTATGCTGTCCAGGACGCATGGGAGTTGTTGTCCAACAACATATAGAAGACCAAACTTTGCCAACCCCATAATTTAACCAGGGATGAACCAATGTTGTTCATGGATGTCGGAAAATAATAGAAAGTAGGCATCTTAAATGACTTTAAAAGAGGATCGAACAAATGCTGGGAGAATAAAGAGGCATCTGGTGGGCCGCTGCACGGACAGAGTGCTGGACTAGACAGGCCTTTGGTCGGACCCAGGAGACGCAGGTCTGACCCCTCCTCTCATATTTAAGGTCCCCTGCATAGAAGTGCCCTTACCTGCAAACCTCTGCCTTGGTTCCCACCATACTCCCTTTTTAACATTTTTTAAAAAGTTAATTTTTGTTGTCAGTAATGAAAGGGAGGTTGGCATGCTGCAAATGGGTATGTCAAGCTCCAAAACTGTCAAAGACCCTTCCCGGGCACCACAAAGGCATTTTTATAAATGAAAAGCAGTGGGAAAGTTGTAGCTCAAGTCATTGTGTTGAAATGCCTCCTGCCACATCATGCTGAAATGAAATATTTGGTGGCTGACGGTGGGGTGGGGGGGTAGCAGTTGGGGGAAGCTCCCTGAGGGGCTCCAGACAGGAGCAACATTTCCATCTCCAGGTCTCAGCAGATTATTATTCCATAAGAGAGACAGAGAGAGCTCAAGCTGAAATTCTGAAAGCTTTCCTAGGTGTCTCGGGGTGCAAAATGAGCACAGTAGCACATGAAACTTGTCTGCTCTAGGCTGGTTTTTAATTATAAGAAATTGCATAGGTTGTGACTTGTGCAGTGTGACTTACTGTAAACAGAGCACCAGCGAAGAGTTAAAGGGAGCGCGTCGCTGCATCACGAAGGGTCACTCTGTATGCACACATAGGTCAAGCCACCCTGCCCAAAATTACGTGCTCACCTTGTTCAGGTAAGAGATGCAGTGATCCACATTGTCACTCCAACAGACAACATCACCTAGTCCACCAAGACCCCCCAGTAGCTCTCCAGAGTCCGTGAAGTAGGCTGGACTGCACCCGCCAGCTGGCGACAAGCCAAGCTCAGAAGCGTAGTTGGCTACGAAGACTTGTGCATCTGCAAGGAGAAGAAGGGAAGGCAGGAAAGAGCCAATCAGAAGACGCAAGCACGCCGTGCAAAGAGGATCAAGATAAACCCAAGAGACAGCGGTATAGTTGGCATACATAACCAGTAGGTCTACTGGATTTTTGTAAAACAGGAAAAGTTGAAGAGTATCTGGCCAATTAAAGCAACAACAGACAACATGTAGCCCTCCAGATACTGTTGGAAAAAACATTTGCCAGGATCCTTCACCATTCACCCGGCAGGCTAGGGCTCATAGGAGCTATGATCCAGATACATTTGGAGGCCAACATGATCCTTAAAAGAAGTATGTTGGGGAGAGAAATGCCAGCCGTTTTTTCTCACACTCCTTGCTCCCTCCTCCATGTCTAAGCCCTTTTAAATACAAGTTTGAATGCGAATCAGACATTCAGAGAGGAGCAGCCATTTCAGTGGTAGCTATTGCATATCTCACATAATGGAAACCAGTCAAAAGGAAAAGCCTAATTTGTTCAGGTTTTAGACAGTGGAACCAGAAATCCAGTTCATTTTAGACTAATGGCTAAAAATTTTCCTTTCATTGGCTGAATCCTGTTGCTTAGCATAGTTAAGTCAGAACTAGATGTGGTGAGTCAACTCCTCTGTAAGTTCCATTCATACAATGGGTCTAGTCTAGTTGTGATTTAAAGTGTGCTAAGCAACAGCATTTCAGCCATTAAGTTACACACATTAGCTGTGGGTCTAGTCTAGTTGTGACTTAAGTGTGCTAAGCAACAGGATTTCAGCCATTAAGTTACACACATTAGCTAAATAGTTACGTAGTCTTAAAGGAAGCCCTAGGGAAAAATGGCATATATTACAGTACTGAAATCAGCACTGTAGCCTCCATGACCTTTCTCTGTTCACTTCTTCAAAGTGACTTTTTCTACCTTTTAAGTTGGTTACCTTATCTTGGAATTTTCTGGACATCTTAACCTAGAAATCCCACAATTCAACTGATTTTTGTGGATAGTAGGATTTGTAGTCTACATGGAGAGTACCAGGTTGGAGAATGGTAGCCAAAAGCATGGATTGAAGCACCTGCTGAATTAAGTTTTGCCACTGATCATCTACACCTCCCTTTCCTCCTCCAGCCATTACCACATACATACTTTGCACTCACTTTCAAACATTTTGGGATTAAAAATGATTAAGAAAGACAAGTGTCTTTACTTCCAGTAGAGGACAACCAGCTGGTGCAGTTATAAGGGGCTAGGAAGATCCTTAATCAGAATATTTAAGTGCTTCTGAGCATATTCAGAATCCTTTGAATCAAGAATTAAGCACGAGCAATGTTTACTTCTCTTGTATATGCCTCATTCTTTCCACCAATTTACTGCTGGTTATAGCCCCAGAAAAACAGATTGATTCAAACCATTAAAGCTGTATGCAAATGTTGAATGATTAGGACCTAATTAAGTTATCATGTTAATGGCTTTTGGTCATCATTGGTTTAAAAGTTACAATATTAGAGTAAGTAGTTAAAATACTTAGTTTATTCAAAGTGCTGGTTGTTTCCACCTTAATGGGCTTATTGTGAAAACCAGAAAATGTGAAGAGAAAAATGTGCTGAGCGTCCCCACCACATGGCGCTGGAGCAAAGCATATAATAAACAAATAAATGAGCAAATATAGTGAAGACCATGGCAAATATTTCTCACTCAATTGCCTTCTAAATTGTGATTACACAGTTACCTGTGAATGGCTCTGCTCCTGGAGTGCCTGGACCAGCCAAGGGTTCCATTTTCTATTGTAAGATCCTTTCAGAAAACCTGAATAAAGAAGCAACAGAAGCCTTTTACAAGCCCCTGAATGGTCCCCAGATTAAATGGGAGAAACCATGTGATCTCTTCTGCACCCATTTGGCTGTGGGATAACAAGCCACATAGATAAGCTTCCACTTTAATAAATACCAACAGCTGCTATTAGGAATCAAGTCATTTTTTAACCTGTACCCAATGCTGAATGTTCTTGTCTGGTTGACTAAACAAAATCATTGCTCTTAGAGGCCGTGTCTCTCCATGTTGCTAACATCTGCCAAATTTCTGGCAAACTTTACCTTAGTTGTAGAGAGAAACCTCCTGGAAGCACTGGCTGGTTTTAGAACAAGCCACATGGCCAGTTTTAAAGCAGAAGTGCTTGTTGCAGCTGGCTTTATCTGGCTTCCCTTCTGCAAATTACAGGCACAAACCCCATCAGTTGGGGAGTCGGCCATGTGCTCCCCCCAACTCCTGAAGAATCCCCACCTTGTACTTAAAGATATCCTCATAATATACGAAACAACTGATTTAGTCTCCGTCATGACACCCAAACCAGCAGCCTGAATCGGATGCTGACCAGCCCTTGCTTGAGAAAAGCCATCCCTTGATAATCATTGCTTCTTATACTGTACAACCCTTAAAAGGTACAGAAACCCTGTGTTTCCATCCACCCTTCCCCTGAAATTATGAATGTTAAGAGGAAGAAGTTATTAAACTAATCTTCACCGGTCCTCATACTTGAAATAAATTACTGATCAAAGGGGTTGTATGTGGATGATACTGTATAGGCACAAATACACTCTCACCCAGTTTTTAAACAAAGTGTCCAGAAATTTTTTAAAAACTTCAAAAATTAAATTTAAAACATTAGCCGGCCTTGGCTGCTGGGTAAGTTTAGTGTGTGGCAAATGGGAGGGGGTGGGAGGGACTCCTGCAGATACTGATGGCCATGTTCCCTTCCTGCCCCTGCCCCCCCATCCCCCAGTGATCAGGGCTATCCTCTGTGGCAATTCCTACTGATACTGTACCCTGAGGAACTCCCTCTCTGGATGCATCAGCTGGTATCATGAAGAACATCGGCAAACCAGAACATTGATAGAACGTCCCTGAAGATGAATGTCCATTGTTTGAACCACGTGGGTGGGGGTTGCCTGCTCCACAAACCAGAAAAGGTGTCGAAGGAGCTACTGTGTGCCATGAGACACCACTTGACCCTGGAGCACAGGGTGTGTGGCTGTTATCAGCCCTGTCTCCCCCAATGTGTACAATTTGAATGTGAGGGGGAAAGTCTTTCAGGGCTAGGATCCACAGAGGGTAAATTACAGGACCACGTAGCCCATGCATAGTTTGGGTCATGAGGGTGTAGCGTTCTCCATTTATTAGATCTATGGTTCTTGTTGTGTTATGTAATGATTTATGAATATTCATATTGCTGTGAGGCGGAGCTGGGAGAGATACTATAAGATGCGGAGTCAGAGAGAGAGAGAAGGGGAGATTAAGTAAAATGGAGTCAGTTAGATAAATGTAAGAGTTAGGCAGGAGAGAAGAGCCAGACTAAGCCAGACTGAGTAATAGTGTGTGTAGTTTGGGAAATTTAGATGTGATTAGTTACTGAAGATATTTATGAATCTCTGTAATCAATAAACCAAAGTTTTATTTTAAAGAAATTGAAGCGTGGACCTGAATCTTTCTGAAGTAATGGTGATTTAGAGATGACCTGGTGGCAGCAAGTGAGTGTGACAGAAGCACAGTCTTGGTATATCTCAGCCATCTAACTTCAGTTTCATTTAAATGTTCGGGTACCTGTTGAAATAATGTCTTTTCTTTCTACCTCACTCATACTCTGTGATGAGCTTACTATTAAAGAGGTATAGTTTATCAGTCCAGGTACCAAACATGGATCCTGCAGAGACTGGAGACTCATATATCAAAGTTTCATCCTTTCCCATTGTTTTAAACATGTGGTGTGCATGTCTTGCCCAGGAGTTACCATGTGTTCCTGGTCCAATAACTGGTGAGAACAGTATCACTCCCAACACAAATAAAAGCAGGCAACCCATTTTAGTCTACACTTCTGCGCCTCTTCAGCTTTATCTTGAGAAGATCTGTCGGGTCTTGCGAACACGTCCACTGACTAGAATTCTCCTCTGCTGGAGTTGGCACCAACTTTGTCCGTGTGTGGTGGCTCCACCCTCCTTCGGCTGTTTGTATGGAAGTTTCCATTGTTAGCAACACCAAGTAGGGTCCTTCCCAGCCGGGCTGTAGTGGCTCTTGTCTCCACCTCTTTATAAGCACCCAATCTCCGGGCTGTGTTTTATGTACAGGGGTTTCCAAAGATGTGGTGTGATGTAGTAGTCCCTTTTTCCTATTGGAAGTCAAAATAGAAAACAAGGCCAGAATATTTTCTTTCAAAAACACATCTTTCATCTCATGGATTGCCCCACAGGGCTTGTCTGGCGCCATGTCCCAAATAGAAAATCCATACATCATTTCAAAACGGGACAATCCCAGCCCTGTCCTTGGTTTTGTTCGAATCCCAAATAAAGCTAATGGTAGTAGTTTAGTCCATGGTAACCGATTTTCCAACATCAGTCTTTTGAGCATATATTTCAAAGTGGCATTCACTCTCTCCAACCTCCCAGAAGAAGAAGGTGGATGCCAAGAGGTATGAGTCCCCATTTTATCCCTAACTGCTTAACTATTCCTTGAGTTGTTGTTGTTATTATTATTGTTGTTGTTTAAAGTGTGAGCTTCTGTCTGAAACTATTACTTCTGGCAAACCAAACCTCAGGATAACTTGCCCGGGATTCCCCCTTCTGCTGCCACTTCTGGTTCCGGACACACCACCCCCTGTCCCCCCCCAATGTGGGCACACGAGCCCAAAAAGATTCGCCACCACTTATCTAGATTATAAGGAGGCAGAAGCAACTGATGTTATTACAGCATTGGGTTTAGGTTCGTTAATGTAATAGCAGACATGACAGGTACACTATTCACTGAGCAACTGTTTGTTTAAATGTATTCGCGAAGGCTTTCACGGCCAGGATCTAATGGTTGTTGTGGGTTTTTCGGGCTCTTTGGCCGTGTTCTGAAGGTTGTTCTTCCCAACATTTCACCAGTCTCTGTGGCCGGCATCTTTAGAGGACAGCACTCTGTGCTCTGGTGTAATTGGCTTGGGAGTTGAGTATTTATAGCTGTGGGATCAACTTTTGTCCTTTTCAGGAGATGGGTGATTAAAACTACATTTCACCAGTCTCTGTGGCCGCCATCTTCAGAGGACAGCACTCTGTGCTCTGGTGTAATTGGCTTGGGAGTTGAGTATTTATAGCTGTGGGATCAACTTTTGTCCTTTTCAGGAGATGGGTGATTAAAACTTTATCTATTTTAATTTGCTTCACTGCCTTGTTGGGGCGGCGGCGGCCTGGACTTGACCTATGCTGTTTATTTCCCATTATAGTTGATTTTTGGGCCGCCACACAGTGTTGTAAAGCTGTAGTGTGTCTAATTGCAGTTTCCAAACAATTTAGATCCTCTCCCCAGCAACTGTCTTGCCTCTGTCAGACCAGCAGAAAAATTAAAGCAAATAAATACGCAAGAGTAGCATGGGATTCCCAGGCTTATCTCAGCGACAGTTTCAGTCTGTCTGACAGGCTCTCGGTGCATAAAAGTCTCACTATCAGTTATCTTCTTCCAGAAACAGGAACAGCAACAAAAAGCTGTCAAGCCTCCCCATAAAAGGCTATTAAGATTATTAAGGTTATAAAAGTTATAAAAGGTTAAAGGATTAAAAATTAAAAGGTAAAAAAGGGAGTGGAGCTCAACACACAATCTGCTTTATGCCTGCCAGATTTCACAGCCTATCCTCAGCCTTATTCCGGGGCAGATTTCAAGGAATTCCTCACAAGAAAGATACTGCCCATGTGGGGTGGGGGTACCCAAAATTTTGTCCCATGCTCCTTTACATTGATCAGTCATAATAACATTAAAACCACTTACAGGTGAAATGAATAGCATCGATTATATTCTCACAATGACCCCTGTCAAGGCATGGGATATACAGTATTAGCAAGTGAAAGGTCCGTTCTTGAATTTTGTGTATTGGAAGCAAGCAAAAGTATATGGGCAAGCAAAGAGATCTGAGAGACTTTGACACGGGCCAAAGAGTGATAGCTAGATGACAGGGTCAGAACATCTCCAAAATGGCATTTCTTGTGGGGTGTTCCTGATATGAAGTGGTTAATAGCTACCAAAAGTGGTGCCAGGAAGAACAGCTGGTGAAATGGCATCAGGGTCCTGGATGCCCAAAGCTCATTGATCCACGTGGGGAGAGAAGGCTAGCCCATCTGATCCGATCACCCATAAGAACTACTGCTAATGCTAGCCACAATAGAAAGGTGTCAGAACAGACCGTGCATCCCAGTTTGCTGTGTATGGCGCTGCATAGCCTCAGACCAGTCAGAGTGCCCATAATGGCCCCTGTCCACTGCCAAAACCATCTACAATGGGGACGTGAGCATCAGCACTGGATCATGGAGTAATGGAAGAAGGTTGCCTAGCCTGATGAATCATGTTCTCTCTTAGATCAGGTGGATGGCCAGGTGCATGAGTGTTGTTTACCTGGAGAAGATATGGCAGCAGGATACATTATGGAAAGAAGGCCAGCCGGTGGAGGCAGTGTTATGCTCTGGGTAATGCTCTTCTGGGAAACCTTGAGTCCTGGCTTTCATGTGAGTGTCATTTTGACATGTACCACCTACCTAGAGTTTGTTGCAGACCATGTACATCCCTTCATGGCAATGGTGTCCCCTAATGGCAGTGGCCTCTTTCTGAAAGATAATGCACCCTGACACACTGCAAAAATTGATCAGGAATGATTTGAGGAACATGACAAAGAGTTCAAGGTGTTACCTTGGCCTCCAAATTCCCCATATCTCAATTCAGTTGAGCAAATGTGATGTATGGAGGCCCACCTCACAACTTGCAGGACTTAGAGCAGGCTTGTCCAACCTGCGGCCCGAGGGCCGCACGCGGCCCAGGTCGGCTCATAATGCAGCCCAGTGCAATTTTTTATTTTTAAAAAAAATCC